TGTATAATATAATAAGAACCTCCTGAAAAATGAGCAAGTCTTCTGAGATGTCAAGATGTCCTACAAGAAGGCCAGGAAAGCAAAAGACATGTGGTGTCAGTGTAAGCGATGCATGTGTATGGAACATGCTACTGTCACGTGTGCAGACTGCTTTAGATGTGATCATTGAAGTCAAGATTTTTTTTGTAGAGTGCTATTGGTATTTTCATTGTAGTTCACAGGGAATTTATTTCTGATGTTCTTTTTTAGACTTTGTACACCAAAAACCAGTTGATGTTGAAAATTTGGATGCTTTTTTATACACAATAAATATTAAAATCTTAATACTTTATTTTTGTGGTTTTTCTTCCCGTTAAGTACTCAATGTTTAATATAATAAGACTCATGAAATTAAAATGAATAATTCATCAGTTGAAATATTCTAAAGAATAACAGACCCACATTTATGTGCCTTGATGACAAAATTAGTCTTATGCTCCAAGGGCTATGGACCCTGAATGGGAAGATAATTTGGGGTTATCTGGGTTAGCTCCAAACATAGTCATAGGTAACCTTGTAAGAGGAACACGGAGATTTGACACAGCTAGCAGGACAGATGACAGTGCGAGCCCGCAAGCAGAGAGGGGAGGGACGCCGGGAACTAGCTAAGGTACTCAGGCTGGGGGAAGCAAAGACTGCTTTCCTTGTAAAGCCTCTGAAGCTCAAGAGTCCAGCTGCGACCTTGAGTTCAGCTGAATGAAACTGGTTTCAGACTTCTGACCTCAAGAACTGTGACAGAATGAATTTCTGCCGTTTAAATCACACTGCAGTAATATTTTGTGAGGGCAGCCACGGGAAACTAATACATGCACTGAAAATTAAACTGTGGTATCTGCAGGAGGCAAAAGTTGTCTTTTATTGCACCATGCAGAAATAACCACCATATACACAAGAAGCACGAAGAAACCGCCTCCCCTGAGCCTTCTAGCACCAAATGTGGGTGCTGGCACCTTTTCCTATTTAGCTGCATCTGTTTTTTTTTTTTTTTTTTTTTTTTTCCTTCCCCTATTTAACTTCATATTGTGGCCAGTAAATATTTGTCAGAAATACGGCCTTCCTGGATACACAGTTTTGAAAATACAGTATACTCTGGAGAGCTGCGGTTCATAGTTCTTGGCCTCATTCATCTGCAGATTTTTCCTTAGAACCTAACATTGTTCACAGAAAACCCGCAATTTCCAGTGGGTTTTTTTTTTGGCTGGTGGTTTGCAAGTAGCCAATCCGTGAGCGTTATTCAGTTCTCCTTGCTGCTGATTGGCTGCTGCCCTGTACCCACCATAACAGGTTGCTGCACTGCTTGTAGCTATCTCCAGTGTTCTTAGTTTTTAAGATGCCACCACAACACCCTGTACCTTCTAAGGCTTTATAAATACAGTATTTTATTAAATTAAACTACATAACTGCAAGAGACATAGCATATTTAAGGCTTAAACTATAAAAATAGGTATTTATAGGCATTTTTCTGAGCATATCTGAAATTCTTGTTTTTTTTACAACTCACGGGAGCTTTAGGAACATAACCCCCATGAATTTCAGGGGTCCACTGCAATGGATTTATCATTTCTTTTGTTCATTTTCTACTGTTAGGCATAAACTCTGAAGTTTAGATTTATAAAGACATTGCCGTGAATATATCTGCACTTCAGCTATTTGTGTGCACACATGATTTTTATCCTGGAGTAGGGTCCTAGCTACAAAAGAGTTTGTGTCTTTATCTCTGGGATGTACCATCCCAGACAAACCTTTCTGAGACTCAGTTTACTTCTTTGTATGGAGACAATAAAACCTACTTCATAGGACTATTTTGAGAATTTAATGAGATAATATTTACAATGAGTTTATTATATAATAAGCATTCAGTAAATGACAACTATTATCATTACTAATAATATTCCATTAATATATTTCTAATTCCCTTATTATTCCATTGAGATATTATTTTATTGCAGCTGTGCAAGTTGGTTTAAATAAATTATTGTGAGCATGCATGACAGAGTAACAGAGCTACATTTCCATGTCCCTGAGGATTCCCTCATATTATCATATCCCTTACTGTTGTCAAAGAAATCTACTGAATGATAAATTAGGCATCATAGTTAACTTCACTAGGTCCTACTTATGCAGAAATCAGTAGTCCTAACAAAACATTCCCATTTTATTTTTAGTGTCAATAAACCACTTAAATTTCCTTCAAATCTGATGGCAAGCTGAAAACTGTTGCTTCTGTATTTTTCAGTTGCTGGGAGAGAAAGATTAGCACAGCAGAGAGCTAGAGCAAAGAGACAGAAATGTGTGTTTCATTCTGCGTCTGTAGAGAAGTTCTAAGAAGAAATTCTATTTCGGAAGTTTTGAGATGAGAATTCCTGTGCCCCTCTCGCTGTAAGAGGATGAGCTATTAGTTAAAAGCAATCATACTCATTCAGTTCATTAGCATGATGATATTCTATGCTACCACACTCACAGAGGATAGTAGTGTGCTGATAATAAGATCACAACCATGCAGAAAACAAACTAGAACGTGTGGTACATAATTCAATCAGAAATAAGATCTTTTAGTTGAGTCAAATTAGCGAATAATTTAACCAACTGAAAACATCCAGTATTGGCAAGGTGGCAAGAACACGGGCATTCTTGTCTCTCTGGAGGAGAGAGTCACAGTATGTAACGCAATTTTCAATAATTTTCGATAAGGGCGGTTGGCCTCAGGCTATGGCTCTGTGGTAGAGTGCTCGCCTAGCCTATGCGAGGCCCTGGGATCCATCTCCAGTACCACCAAAATAAATTTAAAAAGAACTCTTTACTGAGCAAATATACTTCAATGATTTTTCCCTGAGATGTAACAGACAAAAGTGCAAAGGTTTATGTGTTTTTATAATGTTGTTACAGAAAGCAGAATACCGAGAAAAAAGCCTGACTGTTCATCAGTAAGAGCCTGGTTTCAGAAAGCAAGGCGCATGGCATATTGGGAAAACAGTACAGCTCTAAGTCATTCACATGCAAGGACGGCCAGAGTGTCCAACTGCAAATGTTCTAACACAATGATCTATAGCAGTGGTGGCCAACCTGTGGCACACATGCTACAGAGGGCTGTTTGTATCTTCAAAAGCTCCAAAAGGTTCACCATCAGACAGATAGCACTGGAAGAGACACGTAGGTGTGTGTGTGTGTGTGTGTGCATGAGAGAGAGACAGAGAGAGAGAGATGAAATTATAGAAGTATAAAGAAGCAGGTCAGATGTGGTGGCACATTCCTGTGATCTTAGCACTCAGGAGGTTGAGGCAGGAGGAATGCCATGAGTCTGAGGCTAGCCTACACAAGCGAGTTCAAGGCTAGATTGCACTACCTAGTAAAGCCCTGTCAAGAAAAAAGGCAAGAAAAACCATCTGTGATCTCATCATTGAAAGACATGTTAGTATTTTGAGCATTTTCCTTTTTAATTCTTTCTTAATATACAATTGTGTATCTGAGCTTTTTTCCATTATCATTATGTTTTCCTATGTCACTGAAAACTCCTCTGTGTGTGTGTGTGTGTGTGTGTGTGTGTTTAGTATTGGGAATTGGATTTGGGGAGCACTGATCTATATCTCCATCCCTTTTTAAATTTTATTTTGATATAGAGTCTCACTCAGTTGCCCAGTCTGACCTTGGATTTGTGATCCTCCTGCCTCAGTCTCCCAAGTAGTTGGATTACAGGCATGTGTCACCATGCCAAGGATTCATTATATTTTTAACAACCCAAGCCCAATTTCTAAGAAGTAATATTCATTTATTCCTATATCATTTCAAGTTGAAAAACCTTTCATATACTCAAAATAAGTTTACTACAGAAGCCATGAGACCAATCCCTTCCTATCCCGAAAGCCTAGATCTGATCCTTTACAAGTTAATTGTGACACCTCCACAGCCTCAATTTCCAAAGTTCTCTCATTCTTGTGGCCTCACTGGGATGGGCACTTTCTTGATCTAGTTTTTCACTGTTACTCATCTGCCTAATGCGCTCATTTCCAGACTGAGTTCCATGACTGATTAGTTCAACTGCCCTGATGTACTCTCACATTCCCCTTTTGCTAAGTGAGCCCGACTTTGGTTAAACCTAACACTCTGCCTGTTCTATACTTGCACTCATGCAGCCAGGAGTTCCAGTCCTATTTTTCTTCTTTTTCTTTTTGAGGGGGCTGAGATCAAACACAGGGCCTCACACATGCTAGGCGAGCGTCTACCACTGAGCTCTGTCCCCAGCCTTTTTATTATTTATTTTGTTGTTACTGTCTTGGTAAACTGTCCAGGCTCCACTCAAATTTGTAATCCTCCTGCCTCAGCCTCCTAAAGTAGCTGTAATTATAGATATGCAGCACCGCATGTGGCTTCAAGCCCTATTTTTAATGCTATCTGTCCTGATATCCCTTAAGCCCTGGTTCTCTCTGTTGCTTACCCACAGGTGCCCATTGCTATGCCCCGCGCTCCCGTGGAGGTCCTCGGCTGTTTTTCGCATTTCTTTTCTTTCCTCAACTTGCCCACCTATCCTCTTGACTTGTTCCCTCTCCTTTGTCTCCTGCTTACCTCTTCCCCCACACCCCAGCAGAAACACAGAAGATAAAACCTGATAAAAATGACTCAGCCGTGGGTGTGGCAGCAGGGTCTCTGCTCCCATCCTACTTCTGCTGTGTGACCTTGGGCCAGTCCTTTTACTTCTCTGGTTCTCAGTTTTCTCCCTATTCAAGGAGGCATGTTCGGCGGGATGAACATGCAGATCATTTCACCAGCTTTTAAAGCTCACCATCTGTATCCAACTCGAACTATGCCAAGAATTTACAATAAATTTCAAATAAAAGTAAAAAAAAAAAAAACCCATAATTCTAAAATTCGGAAAAGATAAGGAGTAGTATGGTCGTTTCAGTGCGGAAACACTCCTTGGCCCACCGTGGATTCCCCCCACAACCCTCGCGGAACCCACAGCTCACCGTGAATTTCTCATAGAGCTCATAGGTCAGCAGGGGGTTGGGCAGCTCCCGGAAGTAGAGCTTGCACAGCGAGCCCACGCAGTGGATGTCCTGCAGGTACACTTCCCTGGTCAGGTCGGGGCACTGATCAGAGCCAAACTCCTGCCTGAAATGACACAGACGGAGGCGTGAGGTCCCAGGGAGGAGCGCGACTTCCGCGCCTCTGCTGCAGGCAGCTAAAGGGTGCAGACCCCATATTTTTGACCTTGACTGTGCTAGGGCACCAGGGAGCTGCGGAAATACTCCCACTTTAGGCATCAGTCTTCTTTGCAAAAATCGGCTGTGAGTAGAAAGGCATACAGCTCATCTACACGTGGATTCTCTGTGCGCTGTATAAATTACTGCCTTGATTATGAACATCGGGGAAATAGGAAAACGGTTTACACTGCTGCTCAGAAAAGGCTACTGAGATGGCAGTTTTTCCAAAACATTGCTCAAAATGAAATTCTGTTTCGTACAAGAGAGACGGAAACCAGGGCGAGTGAGGTTGACCCCGTGCATATCCATATATTATAACCGCAACGCACTTGTTGTATCTGGAGTTTCAAACCCCAGGACCGGGAGCTTTGATCAGCCCTCTCCGATGCTCCTTGGGGCCCTGGAGGCTGCCTGGTGGTGACTTCTACAGGGGAAAGGAGCTTAGAAATGCCTTCAGAAAGGTGTATTGGGACATCTGGGAACACCAGCTGATGCTGGGGTGGTCATTAGAACACACTTCCATTCCACTGCCTCAAGTTAAACATCTGTTTAATAAATGACAGAGTTGAGCTCTCATGGGGAAGTTGGGCTTCTTGAGAGTATTCACATGGTCAGTGAGTAGGTGCCAAGGTCAACAGGACTCAGAACAGCGTTTGTGAAAGAGCCTGCGCCCACTGCACACGGTGGTGCTTGCCTCTATGCGAAAGCGCAGGGCTCCTCCATACTGCCCAAATCTCAGGCAGCTGGATGTGGCCTTGGAAAGAGAACTATGCCCTGGCTTTGTGAACTCACAGCTTGCTACTCTGCCCTGCCCCTTTTTCTTTCTGGTGCTGGGGATTGAACCTAGGGCCTTTGTACTGAGCAACAGCCCCAGCTCTTGTTTTAAAATTTTTTAATTTTGAGACAGGATTTCCCTAATCACTAACTTACCCAAGCTGGGCTCAAATTTGCAATCCTCCTGCCTCAGCCTCCCAGAGTGCTGGGATCCAGGTGTGTGTCACTGCACCTGGCCAGGCATGTGATTTTCTAAGGAAGCAGAAGAACAATCTCGAGCTTATTTATTTACCCTAAAATTTCTCTCCCCAAGGCTAAGGCCAGTCCTTAAATGAAAAAGAATTTGCCTCCACTGAGGTATCTTTGCAAGATACCATCTCTGTATCGGACATTTCAGAGCCATTAATTAGCCAGAAAGATGTTTACTGTTGGAGGCAGCTGAGCCCTTGCCTAGCACGTGTAAGGCCCTGGAGTCTATGCCCAGGGCTGGACAAAAATACACCCTAAAAGATGGCACACTGGTAAATTAGTGGAGTTATGTAAATGCGCAGAATCATTAAAATCTATGTCTACAACATACATTTTTTTTCTCAACAGCCACCACTTCCCTGGGAGCAAAAGCAAGTTTTATTCCTTTGGCATAATGTAAGTGCAAGTGAGATTGGAAGGGGCAAGGCAGAAAGCAAATAGGAGGAAGATGGAAAATGAACTATCAGCATCCTCTATTAAATTTTACATACTAACTTTGCGATAATGTTTTGATTGTTTTAAAGTGTACATATAAAGAAGATAATATATTTTAAAAAATGAGTAATGTTCTTTTGGTGCTAAAAGTGATATGCAAAACACATAAACCTATTCCTTTAGTCACAGAAAAGTATACTTTATATTCTTTCTCTTTTCCCCCAATGTATCTGTTTTGGGTAATGGTTTTTGCTGTCTTAATTTTATATGTGTGTGAAGGGTAGAAATGATAGAAAATTTGTGCAAATGTTTAGGGTAAATCCTTAGAACTGGAGATGGTTCATCTATCCATAACTTTTGAAATACTAGCATCAGTCAGAGAAATGAGCAACCATGAGACCTCCAATTCCTCAACTAGATGAAATGTCCAGTGTGTGCCCACAGGAAAGCTCCCGAGGACCTCGGAGTTCTGAGAGCTGAATAATTATAACTTAGATCATTTGCTTTAAATCAAATCCTCCCTCCCCAGGAAGATAAACCTGGAGTGAGAGAAAAACCAGGTTAAAAGTCCAAAGGAGCTTTTGTTGGAAAGAATCACAGCAGGTGGGAGAGCTTTCTCACTCTACTAACAATCAGCCATCTAACTCTACTGCCCGCTCTCTTCCCTTCAGGGTTTTGCCACTCCTGCCCCTGCCAACAGAGGGGTGGGCAGAGGAGGTCATGGGAGAATTCTCCGGGGTTCTTTTCTCTTACCTTAGCCGCTGTATGTTTGAAGTGACCCCCGAAAGTCGATAGATTCCATCCACAATGCCATGAGTCTCAATAAATTCTGCACAGCTCTTCAAAACATATGGAACTAAGTAAAGGGGGAAAAAAAACAAAAACAATAAAAGTATTAGATGTAAAGCCTGCTATCTTTTAAAAAGTCTAGCTGGGCAATGGTGATACATACTTGCAATCATAGCATGTGGGAGGCTAAGGCAGAAGGATCACTGTGAATTTGAGGCCATCCTGGGCTACACAGTGAGTTCCAGGTCAGCCTGAACTATATAGTGAGACCCTGTCTCAAACAAATAGAGAAACAAATAAAATGTACTTTGAAGAAGATAACAACTTCAGGACCCAAAGCTACCCAAGGTTCTCCATGTCCACACTATCAAGCATCATTTATGTCTCTTCCAGGCCCATCACACTCATAATCCCTTAAAGAACTTTAGTTCACAAATTAGCTTGGTTGGTAAGGCATAAGGCAGAAATGCAGTGGCTGGGCTCCTGCCATTCTTCTTTAAAATGGGCTGTGCTTTCACCTGTGAAATGGGCCCTTATTTCTACTCCTGTGGGTAGGTAGGCTATCACTTTTCTCCTATAAATCAAGACCAAACTTTCTATAGATTCACAAATTCACAGATTTCTACCCCTCAAAGTACATAAATATCCTCAGCACAACTTTGAGTATGTACTTTAAACTCTGCCCAATAAAACCCTTCATGCCTCTTACTGATGCATATCCTTCCTTCTCCCTTGATGTCTCTCTGCTTCCTGCCACGCCATGATCACTTTCTCCTCTGCTATGCCACCCTGCCTTGGAGCCAGCTGTCTATGGACTGAACCCTCTACAGATGTGAGCCAAAATAAACCTTTCCTCCTTTACCCTGTGAGTGCTAGGATGAAATCCTAGCAACGCAAAAGTAACTAAGACATACTGCTTCATTAGTACTTATTCCACATGCTCACGTCTACACACAATTCCACCTGGACTGCACCTTTATGTGGGTAGATCCCAGGTGTTCAAATTTAACTGGGTTTTTAAAATGGTACTGGGCACTGAACACAGAGCCCATACTTCACCCCCAGCCCTTTAAAAATTGTTTTCAATTTTGAGACATGATTTCACTAAGTTGCTCAATTGCCCAGGCCAGGCTTAAACTTGAGATCCTTCTACCTCAGCCTTCCTAAGTGCTGGGATTATGGGCATGCACCACCACACCTGGCGGAAATTCTTTATTATAGCACTTCCTAAGCATGCTCTCCCCTTGCTGTCTTCCAATAACTGTAATTTCAGGAATTAAGCCTGTAACCCCAGCAGTCAGGAGGCTGAGGCAGGAGGATCACCACAAGTTCAAGGCCAGCCTGGGCTACATAGTGAGTTCAAAGCCAGCCTAGATAATATAGCGAGACCCTGTCTCAAAAATAAACAGAGAGTTAAATCAAGTTTTTCATACTTAAAAGTATTTTGCCCACCCTCAATGGTGGTGCTTGCCACAGCTCCTCCCCTCCAGACATGTCCATGTTTGGGCCCAGCCTCTTCTCTGTGGCTGCTATTCCTACCATGCAACTGAGGTAGCAGATCAGAGCTGGAGCAAACTGGACAAACAACTAGGTGGAATCTGTCAAAGGTCATGAGGACACAGAGAACACGTGCAGAACACAGGACTCAAGGTGACCCTAGGGCTCTGGAGCCCTGTACAAAGAACCAGTGAGAAAGTATCTTCAATCCCTCATTTGAATCTGGCTGTTTGCAGGACCAATCAGAACAGTGCTGCTTTTAATTGGTTGTTTACATCTGTCAGGTGCCAAGTCTTCCCACTGGGTAGTTTAAAACTGGCACTAGGCCTAGGGAGTTTTTGATAGGACAACTATCCTAACGCCTTATTTGCATGAAGGGGAGCCAGTCAGGAATTTCAGGCACAAAAGACCCCATTTCCTTCTCCTCCTGGCCGCTATCTGATTGTTCACTGGCCTGGTCTCGCCCTGTAGAGAGTACCTCTCTTTCACCTTCAGGGAATGTACACCCTCACTGCCTTTTCTGTGTGTCTTGTCCAATCCTTTGTTCAGGACGCTGAGAACCTAGAAAGAATTCCCAAGTAGCCCCTCCATCCAGCAGTGACCGGGAAGAGGCTTCTCAGCTGAGCCAGGTAGGATGAGGTCAGGGCACAGACTCGGGATTGGAAGTACTGAGGCCAGAGACTATAGAGGCCAAAACTTCCTGGGAGTGAATATCCGGAAGCGGGGTGAGAGGGGCTGAGAGTCTTTGGCCTCTGTCTTCAGTCAGAAGAGCTGCGACTGGATGTTTCATAGAACAAGCCTCTTCCCTTCATACAAATTAATGGAGAGAGAGACAGAGCTGCAGTGCTTCACACACACACACACACACACACACACACACACACACACCCTTAAAATTCCTGTTGTGTCCACTGAGTCTGCTGTTTCCCCACATGGAGCTGTTCTTAACCAGCCAGGTGCAGTCTAGGGTTGAGAGCACCGTTTTTGATGCCAAACTGCCTTTGTAACCTTGGGCAAAATACATGTGATTCCCTTTGTCTCCACATCTGCCGTATGAACACAATAGTGACATCAACCTCACAGTTAGGGCTGAAGTAATATTTGTAAACATGCAGCACAGCTGGCACATAAAAGTCATTCTACAGTGACAGTTGATACTTCTATGTGTCCCTTATCTCAGATATGAATTTATAATTTGGTTCTCAGTGAAAACAGAGCTTGCCTCCTCCCATCCGAGGGACTCATCTCTGTTCTGTGGGAGGGCCAGGGCTGCCGTGACCTTCTTTGGTAAATGTTTCTATTGGAGAGTCATTTTGCTTTCATGGCGTCTCTGTGCGTGTAGGTGTTATCTTTGTAGCACAAGTGAGCGGGATCCAACAGAGTTTGGACTAAGACTCAGGGCCCTTGGCGAGAGGTGTTCTCCACACCCCATGAGGTATGCGGCTGTTGTGCTGTCCCGGGCAACTCTGAACGGTTACAAAGAGGCTTCAAAAACAACAGTTTTGGAACTGCTGGGCATGGTAGAGCCTTGCTGTAATCCCTGCTGAAGCAAGACTATGGCAAGTTCAAGGCCAGCCCGGGCAGCTTAGCAAGACCCTGTCTCACAAACAAATGAATGGATGTCTGGGGATGCAGCTCCGTGGGTGAAGCATTCATGGAGTAGATATGTGTGTAGATACTAGTATTCATGCCTCGTACCCATGAGGCCCTGGGCTCCATCTCCCAGCACCCACCTCCCCACCAACGTCTTGGATTCAGGGAATCTTTATAAAGAATACACTAGAGCAGGACCTGGGGGCACACATCTGTAGTCCCAGCATTGAGGAGGCTGAAAGAAGAGAATCCTGAGTTCAAGACCAGCTTGTGCTACATAGGGAACCCCTGTCTCAAAAAGACCAGTAATAAAGATGATGATGATGATAAATTAACAAAATAAATAACACTCCAGAAAAGGGGCAGGTGCAGGGTCGCCAACCTGTCCCAGCGTGTCCTCAGATAGGGACCTCCTGGTTTCATAGCTCTCAGCAGCAACCCCTCAGGCTCTGTTTGTTTTAAAGGTGGGAAAAACACATTCCATTTACTCTGGCTTCGGTACAGAAGCCTTAGAATCCTCTTGTCCACAGCTCTGTTTAACCAGGTGGCAATACTAAAACAACCTGAGGGAGGGGGGCCTGGTCCCAGTCCCTGGGGAGCACTAGCTTTCCTGGATTCTCATCTTGGGCTTCGGTGGAAGGTGTGGGACTCTCCATTATGGTGCCTAACGGGAAGGGAGTCACGGCACCTCCGCGGAATTATCTAGCGCAGTGGGTCTCAGGCTAGGGTTCCTACCAGGTGCCCCAGCCCAGATCTTCCAGGTGATTCTGGGGCACTTCAGGGTTGCAAAGCCACTCATCTAGACCGGAGCTTCTCAAACGCTGATATGCATAAACATCACCTGGGGGATCTGTTAATATGCTTATTCCAACTCAGTAGGAACATGGGTGGAATTCGCATGTGTAACAAATTCCCAGGTGATGCGGGAATGCAAACCTGCAGCCCACACCAAGGGCATCAAGGAGCTAGTAAGAGTTTATTCTCAAAGTCAGAATTCTTTAGACTATTGTTCTAAGGTCCACCCAGATTGGGGACACCCTGGGATTCTTGACAGGGTAGTGGCTTGATACAAAATAGCTGAGTAGTGACAGATGGAAAGAAAGCTTCCATTGTCGACTTAGGCATGAGAACGAGTGATGCTGGCATCTCAGAGCTACTTCTGTGGGATTTATCCGGAGCCCAAGAACTCTGAGTCTCCTCCTCCAGAGGAGTATATGATATCGTATTACAGCCTCTTCCAATTGTTTCCCCTCTTTTTTTTTTTCCCCTTGGATCAGCAATTTTAGAAGTGAAATTTTAATCCAAGTGCAAAATACATCTTGAGGTGGTTCCTGATGGAAAAGAAAACCCTTGCCTTTGATTTCAACTTTACAGTCTAGGAAGCATGATCAAGTCCTTTTTCTGCTTTGATCTAAGACATTTTGCACTTACTAATAATGTGGGTCACTGCTCAATTTCTAACCTCTCCAAGGGTCTAGAGCAGAAAATGCCAGCAGTCAGGTCATTTCTCTGAGCCTCCTGCAACCCCATCGTAACATGAACTCGATGGACTGTCTCCCTTCCCACTGGCTGGGATCTGATCAGATCTGGAAGCTGAGATTAGAGCAAGCACAAGTCTATTTAGTCATTCACATCATGCAGCACATCCTCCCACAGTGCATTAAATTGCATTTGTGCTTTAAGGAAACAGGCAATCATTCTGGAGTTTGATCTGCATTTCATTCTCTCTCTGGCCCTGCATTTCTGACCTTCAAAGTACTCTAAAGTCTAATGCTGCATTGTGTACAAGGATATGACTCAGCAATCACACGGGCTGATATGCATGCAAGACCTCCTCAGAGACACTAGGCTGGGTGATGGAGACTGGTCCAGAAAAGATATAGAGTCCTTCCTTATTCTGGCTCATCAGTGCAGAACTTCCTAGGTGTTTCCCGCACAAGAATCTATGCGTGAAACCAGGTATGGGGGTGCACACTT